CTGACAACCCAAGTAGGTGTAACCAATATACCATACAGAGACATAGAGACACACACATAACACAGCCATACAGAGACATAGAGACACACATCACACAGTCACAAACACGGTGCCACAGAGACATAGAGACACACATAACAACGCCACATTGAGACATAGAGACAAACATAACACAGTCACAAACACGGCCACACAGAGACATAGAAACACACATAACAAAGTCACAAACACAGCCACAAAGAGAAATAGAGACACACATAACACAGTCACAAAGACGGCCACACAGAGACACAGAGACAAACATAAAACAGTCACAAACTCGGCCACACAGAGACATAGAGACACACATCACACAGTCACAAACACGGCCACACAGAGACATAGAGACACACATAACACAGTCACAAACACAGACACACAGAGACACGCATCACACAGTCACAAAAACAGACACACCCTCATCACACAGCCACACAGAGACACACATAACACAGTCACAATCACGGCCAGACAGAGAGACACGCATCACACAGTTAGAAACACGGCCACACAGAGACACAGAGACACACACCACACAGTCACAAACACAGCCACACAGAGACACAGATACACGCATCACACAGTTACAAACACAGCCACACAGAGACATGGAGACACACATCACACGGTCACAAACACGGCCACACACAGAGATACAGAGACATGCATCACACAGTCACAAACACGTCCACACGGAGACATGGGGACACACATAACACAGTCACAAACACAGACACACAGAAACACGCATCACACAGTCACAAACACAGACACACCCTCATCACACAGCCACACAGAGACACAAATAACACAGTCACAATCACGGCCAGGCACAGAGACACGCATCACACAGTTAGAAACACGGCCATACAGAGACACAGAGACACACACCACACAGTCACAAACACAGCCACACAGAGACACGCATCACACTGTCACAAACACAGCCACACAGAGACACAGATACACGCATCACACAGTTACAAACACAGCCACACAGAGACATGGAGACACACATCACACGGTCACAAACACGGCCACACACAGAGACACAGATGCACGCATCACACAGTCACAAACACTGACACACCCTCATCACACAGCCACACAGACACACACATCACATAGTCACAAATACGGCCACACACAGAGATACACATCCCATTGTCACAAACACTGCCACACAGATACACGGAGACACGCATCACACAGTCACAAACACAGACACAGAAAGACACAGAGACACAAACACGGCCACAGCAATGTTAGAAATAGATTCAAAATGTCACTAGCCAGTGGCTCTAATGGTAAAAAAATGTCACTATTCTTCAGATACCTTACTGGCCCGAATAATTCATGATAATTTATAGACAATAAAACAGCGCATATGAGAATAGTTAGAGTATTCATTTCACACAAAAATTGTTTCAGACTATTAACTCTGAGCGTCTGACATTGATGGGACACACTCTAGGAATACCCATATATTTTCATATTATCTTCATATTAAATAACTTACGGACTTCAGTCATGTAGTCATTCCCAACGAAATTGCACAATTCAGAGAGGATAGCAAAAAAAAAGAATCACTTCAGTCAAAACAAAATGTTTATTTTCCAAAACTACAACTTGTAAATGAACAGTCTGTACTTTTTCAGCAGTCAGTGAACAATAATTAAATTTGCAGCACTGTTTGAAGTAAGGTACCCGTTAGCGCCCAAGTAATTTACGATCATGGGTAACTAGTAGTACCAACATAAACCGCGAGAAAATGAACTCTTTGGTTCTTGTTTTGATTCAAGCATCGAATAAAGAAACAATTAATACATCTGAAAACATAAAGAATGTGTACTCAGTGTAAAGCGTATTTCACACTGTTGACGCCACATAATACCTGTTCAAGATCCGGAATTGACTCCACCACGCATAGCACATTTACATTGCATCAAAGATTAAAATCAGAAGCCTGAAAATAAAACGTTCCCTTTCACGAAAACGCCATGGAATCATACAAAATGGGAATGAATATATTTTGCCTTTAACTGTTAAACACCTTCACCATCTTACGGTTCTACTGCGTGACGTACATTACGTTGTAACTTACGTTCATGTTAAATTCAAAGACTGAATTTTGATCAAACGCCATAGATGACAAAAACGGTAAAAATCTTTGCTCCAGATATGTAACATTTTTCTGAAAACATGACCGAGACAGTCGTGCAACACTGAGACATGTCCAAGCATCAATTACACAATGAGACATTGGAATAAAACATTTGTTTACTTTTGGATATATCCTTATTTAGAGTAAATTAATGAAGAATCTGTATAGTTGACAAAACGTACTCTTCAATTTCATCAACATGTTAAATCGTTTTATCATCTTAAGTAATGATTCCGAAAAGATATTCGTATGAAATTTACCTAACACCTCTAGTAATTTACGTTAGGGTAAAAAGGTAGCATGATCGACAATGGAATCCATTGAATGAGCATTGCTCTGCTCGCATGCAGAAATTCAAACGGGTACTAACACGTGATGTTTGGGGTTTTGGGGTTTCCCATGTAAAGTCATGAACCATTCTAAAAGTCAATTAAGCGTAAAATACATTTTGTTTATCTAAAGTGATCATCCGGGTTCTGAGGCTGTCTATCTGCGTCGATGCTGTATTAAACTATAGAAGGAAATGGTTGTTCATAACGCCTCGTAGCAACGCTACAATATTATCACCGTCACGTATGATTACGTTCTTAAAAAATCAGTCTTTAAAACGAACATTACTGGTCTGTCTACAACTGGCCAGAATCTCTCGTAGACATAACCTGCTTGTTGTCTAAACTATATCATTCGTTTTTTGGTATTGTAAAACTGTAAAATTATTGTCCTCCTGAGAGGGTACGTAAGTCCAAAAAAATTCAAAGTAAATTTAAACTCTCCACATTTTTAATCGTAGCATATGTGTATTTTTAATGTATGACTAATTACATCTAAATTGCTAACAGCTGAAGGGATGATGTAAATCCAGCCAGGGCCCATGCAGGAAGCAAATGTACTGCAATGCCCATGGCCCTAGTATGGTGGTCTGCCTTCAGTTGCTGTGATCTATAGCCAGCTTTTATATTGTATTGTACTATATAGTATATGATTTTAAGTTCAATGCTAGTTGTAAATCTCTAACTGTGATATGCTAGTTGTTAAGTGTCCTTTGGCGACAGATTGTATATGATAACATTATAAATTAGTTATATATTAACTGTTTTAGTCACGATATGGCTGAAATATGGCCAAAGTGACTAGATTTTAACTCAAACACTCACTCAATTTGATACTGTAACAGTTTCTAATTTTTAGTTGTGGGTAATACAATCTGACATAACGTAAATTACATCCGTGCTGTCGACAATTGTTTGTTGCTTACATTACAATTTTGTATGTTTGCACATGCGTACTTGATGGGTTTTTTTTCATAAATAGTTCCTGATTGCTTTAAAAACTTAATATAACTACATTTGACTTGTGGTAGCGGTGGTCATCTTAGAGGCAGCTTTTATTGACGAGAACGTGACTCACCGACACCAGAAAAACCGTACCCCCTACCCATGTATGTCAATCCATACTAGGCATATGTTTCAATGACGTGTTAGTTTTCTATACTCTACTTGTTATCATTAATGTATTTAAAGATCTAAAAGTGCTTTTGGCCTCATGAATCGCATCTTGCAAACTCAACGACTGCAATTGTCCACTCTCATTGGGAATGATAGTCTGTCACACAAACCCTGAAGCACATATATCTAAGAAATCCCACGCAAGTCTAGAAAATGTGGCAAGTCTAGATTTCCACAGCTTCTGAAAATGAAGAAAGTCCCTGGGCTCCTTTTTATTGTATTTCACGTCAGTGACACAATGTCAGGAAGACGACTGACTTTACTTTGGGTGCTGGTCCATTTTGTACGAACAGGACATAGACATTGGGACTATGCATCATCTTCCGCACAGCGGTTACATGGAGCATTGTTCTTGTATCTGTTTTTTCCTGGTTAGAGAACAGACTAGAATAATGATTAGTCCCTGAATATATATAATTTTGATAAACAAATAAACCCATTTAAATTGAAAAGGAGTCCCAGTGAGCCCAGAGATTCGGGAACCTGAACCTGAGGAAATCTAGACTTGCTTCATTTATAGCTTGAGCACTGCAGGGAGGGCTAGGCATTAGGGACAATAATGTGGTTCGGGGACTGTGAGACATACTAAACCCTCCTCAGCCGCCTGGGTTTTACTCATTCACGTTAGACATTATCCAGGCTATCAACAGCCATTCCATGTACACATGGGTAGTCTTTCCTTTACACTACAATAAAACACAATTTCTGGACAGCACTAAAATACTTCAACAGCCATTCCATGTACACATCGGTAGTCTTTCCTTTACAGTACAATAAAACACAATTTCAGGAGAGCACTAAATACTTAAAAGTGTGGTAAGTTTATACACATTATACACAATCACAGGCATACATAGTCACAAACACATCGCACACAGTCACAAATACAGGCACACACACAGCGGCAAACTCACAAACCACAAACTCACAAACATCCGCCTTTAGATTAATCCTTGGTTATACATCTCGTACACAGCCTACCACAGGCTACCAAAGCCTATCACAGGCTACCCTACAATGAGTCGAGGTGAGATGGGTTGGACCTTCTCGGCACGGTCCGGATTATTCCAGGGTCCTCGTGATCTGCGGTACAGATGTGTGTGTCAGTTCATCCTGTCCGATCTGAGGGCGGACTTTAAGACTACACTTACTCATAGAACACCGTGATCGGTACTCCCTACTTGCGTTTGGTTTCAAATGGAATTACAGCTCGATACCTCTTAAATGAAATAAGGGTCCTCCACACATTCTTAACACATTAAGAAATAATCTTTTAAACATAGAGTTGTTACCTTTAGTATCGAGGCAACCCTGGCGATACCGTCCTTGCTTGTGATGAAGACAGACCCTCCAGTATATGTGGCCAGTTTTCTGTAGTAATCCAGGGCGGTGCTCGACCCGCACAAGTCATCCGTCAGGAACATCTGCAGTCGAACATTCTTCTGTGTAGCCAGTGACTGTACTGATGACAACACCTCTGGGAATTTGGCAGATGCATCCGTGAAGAAGTACAGATCAGAGTTGTAATTGCACAAAGCCAGACCTAAAGGAAAGACATAAATGTATATGGGAATTAAGTGTGCATCTTGTTGCATCAAAGTTCAAATGATAATACACATCTGTATCAGACATTTAAACCTCGTGTTACTTTTATGGAAGCTCGGAATGTTCACTCGAGTTCCATCTGGTCACAGCATCTAACGATTATGAAGATAAAATGAACTATATAGTCTAACTCAGGTACCTGTTACATAACGGTGTTTCACCGCTACGGCTTTCATAAGCGTATGTTAAACTAGGGGACTCCTGTCACATTCCTATAGTGCATTGGAGTCATAGGCTGAGTGTTTTTTTTCTGTAGAGGTGTCCCTGATGCAAATGGATTTACACCGTTCTTAATATTCATGCTTTATGACAAAAAAAATACAATTTATAACCTCCAATAAAAGTGGGGGATATTAAATCATAACAGATGATGACAGAAATACAAAGAGGCTTTAGGAATGGCAACCGATGGACGAGAACGGGACAAGGTCCAACATGAGTGAGTGAGTGAGTTGGGTTTTACGCCGCTTTTAGAACTATTCCAGTACTATCACGACGGGGGACACCAGAATCCAACATAACAACCAACAGAACATCTTTGCTGTGTAAGGCCGCAAACAGCCACCTCATATGAGGGGGGAGTAAAACATCATTGTTCACTCCTCAAACGGCACCTGCCCCAAACAAAGTCGACGTCGGCGTGCACGTCTCCAAATAATTTCCCGGACGAGCTCCACATGGCAATGGCGAGGAATGCCGTTACATCCCCATCCACCCCTCCTCAGAAAAAAAGAAAACAGAAAATATATGTGACGACGTGTGATGCTGACGTTTGTATGGCGTTCATGTGGAACCCCACACACACGCAGCTTTCAAGGTCGGAATGCTCACAGTAGTCCATTCAACTCCTCATCTTGTTCTCGTGCATTGTTCGAATGATAACGTCGTACACTGACTAAACTCACTGCAGCATTCACTAGTTTAATAGGCCCGCACTTGTCTTTTCGCCTGTGATATACTCTTCGACAGTTCATCAAAGACACCTTTGTATCCGCTTACAGAGTGTCGGGCCGGCTGGCTGCACCTCAACTGAGCTCTCACATATTGTGCGATTTCACGAGAAAGAGACAAGCTTCAGAGCACATATTTGGCAGAGTTTTGTATGAAGATGTTGTGATCACATTTGTTAAAGCAGTTTTTCGAAATATCAACGTTAAGGTGGTTTATTTGTGAAAAAACACAAAGTTTACAGGCATGACTGGATTTGAGCTATTAACTCAGTCCAAGCTGATTGATCAGTTCACACACATTGTATTGTTCAAGTCAGGCCCAAGCATCCATCACTGATTGGAGAACAATAGCCATACCTAGATCATCAAGCCTACAGATTATTTATTTAGACTGTGTTCGTGTCTACTTTGTGGGTCTCCCAAATTATCTTATACACAAGCTTCAGAAGGTGCAGAATACTGCAGCCAGAGTGGTCTCTCAGTCAAAGAAATCAGACCACATTATTCCCGCTTTTCACTCACTTCACTGGCTTCCCGTCCGCTACCGCATAAAATATAAAACTCTACTCCTTGTTTTCAAAAGTTTACATGGTCTAGCTCCTCAGTACCTCTGTGACCTGTTCCACCATTATACTCCTGTACGTTCCCTCCTGTTGTACACAGGGGGGTTGAAGCCCAAATCCGCCATTTTCTTTTTATGACGTAACTTAGGTGTGACCTTTGTGTGACCTAATCGATTGTTGAACCCCACCCTCCCCTTTCTGGCCCCGGCGTGTGCGTCACCTTCAGGTTCACCTTAGTGGTCTGTGATTATTATTCAATTTTCTTATGAGTGGTATGAGTTTGCCGACTCGAGTGTTCACACAGCTTAGACTAATGCTTAGCCTCTGAATATATATATACATATAATTTTGATAGTAACAAACAAGCCCGTTTAAATTGAAAAGGAGCCCTAATGACCCCAGAGATTCAGAACCTGAGGAAATCCAGACTTGCTTTATTTAGGGCTTTAGCTCTGCAGAGAGGGCATGGCAGTAGGGAAAATAATGTGGTTCAGGGACTATGAGACAGACTCAGCATACGTGTTCAACGTAGAATTAATATCACACAATGAGGGGGAATTTAGCTGCTATTTATAAGGTCAAAATATCAGAGCGCATTTTGTTAAATCAAAGTTTAAAATACGCTGTCACACAAGGAACAAGTAGTTTACATATCTGTCAACAATAAACGGTTGTAGCTTTAGAATTGCACGTGGGCCTGTATATGCTTGAATGGGGCCCTGTCTATAGGCATTAATACATAACATTATGCTATTCTGCACAGCACAATCCCTTGTTCGCTGAGCCGTAACTGAAGAGACATGTGACAGCTGTGATTGGATGACATAGTGTAAGGTGTTTTGTTTGTTAAAAGCACCTCCATCCAGTCATTAAAACTGACCACCATTTTTAAGTATTTAATGCTGTCATTTGTATCAATTATGCTTATGCGTGTACAAATATGTTCAAGTAGGTGACAGTTGGTGCGGACCTGGGAGGGTTGATGTGTTTAGCTTCCTGTGTGTGGCTTCCTGTGCTCGCCCGTTCAAGTTGACCAGAAATTGTTTTATTGTAATTTATTGGTCAGACTGTAATCATGTCTACATGGTTGGTGATAATTTTCAGCGTGGTCACATACGGTCAGCTTTCCGCTTTTTAAAGGTCAGACTATAATCATGTGTACATGGTTGGTGATAATTTTCAGCGTGGTCACAAACGGTCAGCTTTCCGCTTTTTAAAGGTCAGACTATAATCATGTGTACATGGTTGGTGATAATTTTCAGCGTGGTCACATACGGTCAGCTTTCCGCTTTTTAAAGGTCAGACTATAATCATGTGTACATGGTTGGTGATAATTTTCAGCGTGGTCACATACGGTCAGCTTTCCGCTGTTTAAAGGTCAGACTGTAATCATGAGTACATGGCATGGATAATTTTCAATGTGATGTTGAATGTATGCTGACAAGTGGTCAGGTTCCGTTATGTAGGGAGACGAGTGTCTGACCGGAATTAAAGACAGGAAATAGTAAGCAGTTGACGACTTATGGTCACTGAATATCTCAAGTAGTTTGATTGTACAGTGATGAAATGATTTAGCATGTGTCATATATATATATATATTACTTGATAAGAAATATGTGTTCTCCTGTAAAACTTTCACTTTTACTCAACATTTTAAAACTTTACTCTCAAATTTCAAACATAAAAAACCCCAACAATCGGTTCAACAATCGATTAGGTCACACAAAGGTCACACCTATGTTACGTCATAAAAAGAAAATGGTGGATTTGGGCTTCAACCCCCCTGTGTATGTATGTATGTATGTATGTATGTATGTATGTATGTATGTATGTATGTATGTATGTATGTATGTATGTATGTATGTATGTATGTATGTATGTATGTATGTATGTATGTATGTATGTATGTATGTATGTACGCATGCATGCATGTATCCTGGATCTCGTAGTATAGGCCAGTCAAATTAGCAAAAAGGTCGGGAAAAAATGATGAAGAAATAAAACTTGGTAGATATGTTCTACAAACCTTCCTACATAACATACTAAAGGTCCCCTAAAATCCCACTTGAGCAAAATCCATAGTGCACGTGCAAACATGGCTACTCTATGCAACCTTTTGCTAAGCTAGAAGACAAATTGTGCTTGAACTTCCTTATTTCTGTACATAAGTACATAAATGTTTGACAACTGAGTGAAGATATCTCAAAATTGTTGACTATTATTTCAGAAAGAAAAACAATTCACATTTCGGAGTTGTGGCCCTTTTTGTGCTAAAAATAGAATTTGTATAGGTACAATACTAAGGCTTAGATATGTCCAAAATACCTTGAAGTGTATTGTTTAATGTCTTTTTCACAACAAACCACCAAATATAACATTTCCATGCTTTAAAACAAGTTATCGCCCTTGGATACTCACAATTTCAAGAAACTGTCATAACTCAACCTGACAGTACCTAAAATAACTGATATTCTGCAGAATACCAAGACTATCCAACGCTATTTACAAAATATGTAACAAGGCATCTCCAAACACGTATTATTAAAGATCTAAAAATGTAATTTTCTTTTCCTTGTCAGTCTGGAGGAAGCTGAAGGCTGTGTCTCATCTTCAACTTCACTCTCACCACCGTCGCTGGAAGACAATCCATGAGATGTTTCATCCTCCTCTGCAAGGTATACCGTGTTTGAATTGCTGCAATTACCGTGACAATATCCACCTAGACGCGAACATTTCAATCCTGCCTTTCCATCCCGCACCCACACATACGCTCACATCCTGTTTTACAATTGCATTTGATAATGTTGATCAATGTCTCTGGTGCCGCACTTGCAGATATATATCCTCAGACAATGTTCTCTCGCCGCTACCAGTATAGGTGGCAAGGCAGATAACTGCATTTGTGTGTGAATGGGACACTTGGCAACGGCTCTTCCCTGTCTGTTATATTTATTTCCGGTACTGAAAGGCCACAGGCCTGTAGTACAATGCATTTATAAATCAATATTTACACGCACGGATAATAAACATGAAGAAGGGAAAATAATCAACTTTAGGTTACATTGTGTTTGTGAGATATATTCTGTCCTAAACAACATGGCATAGTAAACAAACATGGACAAGTTGTGAAGTATAGTATGGGTTTGTTATTCAACAATGCTGAGAATTTATAAAGGTTTGGATGGGCACAATAATATTTCTTAATATACAACTTTCTGATTGAATTATAAGCAGGGCAAATTAAAAGAAAATGATATTCATCTTCTATTTGGTTAAGATCACATAGTTTACAAGTTCTATTTTCTTTTTTGACATTTTTAAATCTTCCACTTTCGATAGATAAATCATGTGAAGAACATCTCAATCTGCTTACGCTATCCTATACTTTTTTATGTTTAGACATGAAAGATAAGTTTCGGAGTCAA